AGGCGGGTCTCGAACCCGCGGGCTCAGGCAATCCACTCACCTCAGCCTCCAAAAGGCGCGGGATTACAGGCCACCGAGCCCGGCTCTCGTTTTTCTAATTCATTATTTCCTCTATAAGAACTTTGGAATCGCCGGGTTCAGTGGCTCAGCCTGTAATCCCAGCACTTTGGGAGGCCGAGGTGAGCGAATTGCCTGAGCCTGCGGGTTTGAGACCCGCCTAGGCAACTTGTCGAGACCTCATCTCTACAATAAATCCAAAACTAGCCGGGCGTGGTAGCGTGCACCTGTAGTTTCAGCTATTCGGAAGGCTGAGGCGGAAGGATCGCCGGAGCCCAGCAGGTCGAGGCTGCGGTGGCCAGGAGCAGCCACTGCACTCCTGTCTGGGCGACAGAGTGAGACTCCAACTAAAAAAAAAAAAAAAAAGGCCTTATTGATATTATCACTGGAATCATATTACATGTACACGGAGAATTGACATATTTATATGTTGATCTTCCTGACCAAAAACATAACCACGTCTTGTCATTTGTTTTTGTTCACATCTCCTTAAATCTGGATTATGTATACATAGATATTTGAGTATTACTCTCTATTTTTTTTTCTAAGTTTGAAAAAAGTTGATAATTAAAAATATGATTTAAAGTTACCCCCCAAAAAAGTCAAAAATTAGCTGGGTGCCTTTTGTAGTCTCAGCTACTTGGGAGGCTGAAGCAGAAGGATCACCTGAGCCCAGGAGGTCGAGGCTATAGGGAGCCGTGAGCATGCCACTGCACTCCAGCCTGGACGACAGAGTGAGACCCTGACTCAAAGAGTGAATGAATAAATAAACAAATAAAAAAATAAATAAAATGGTACACACCATTCTTCTAGTTGATGTGGCCAAAACTTAGGGGTCATCGGCTTTGATTTTGTTCTTTCTCTCATACCCCAAATCCAATCAGATTCTATCCATTCTTACTTCAAAAGAGCTCCCACTTCTGATCACTTTCTCCCACCTTTACCTCTACCACCTGGTCCAAGCTACCATCACTCTCACTTGGAAGACTGCAGGGATCTCCTGACTGGCCTCCAGCTCCCTCTCTGCCTCCCTACCGTGTATACTCACCTATGTCTTCTCCCCTCTTTTTCCCTCAGTACACCTTTGGGAGTCTCCATGTGGCTATTGTTCGTTAACTTTCATGACTGTATTCTATTCATAAATATACCATACATCATGCTACTCTTAAAAGACACTTGGGCTTTTTCTGATTTCGGGGCTACTAAGAAACAGGGGTCTAGGAGCATCCTTGACTCTCAGTATATATGTTCATTAGTTCTTTGGGGATATACCTAGGGATAGGATGCTAGCTAGTCATAGGACATGTCTATATTCAGCTGTACTAGATAATGCCAAACCATTTTTAAAAGTGATTATGTGAATTTATACTATTACTAGCAGAGTATTACAATTTTCTTTACCCTATACCTTTGCTATTATCAGACTTTAAAAATTTTGCCAATCTGGTTCGTCTGTAATGTTTTCTCATTACATTATGGATTTTTTTTTTTTTTTCTGGAGTCAGAGTCTCACTCTGTCGCCCAGGCTAGAGTGCAGCGGCCCGCTTATGGCCGCCATACCCTCGACCTGCTGGGCTCAGGTGATTCTTCCACCTCAGCCTTCCAAGTAGCTGGAACCACAGGCATGACCCACCAGGCTCGGCTATTTTTTTTTTTTTTTTATTGTAGAGACGAGGTCTCACCATGTTGCTCAGGCTGGTCTCGAACCCCTGAGCTCAGGCAATCCTCTCGCCTCCACCTCCCACAATGCTGGATTACAGGCTTGAGCCACCACGGCTGGCTTTTGCCTGATTTTCTATTGGAATTTTTTTTCTCACTGATTTGTAGAAGTTCTAAATATATTCTAGATATGAGTCACTTGTTAGTTATATGTGTTACAAATATTTTATCCCATTTTGTGGCTTCTCTTTTATACTAAGGTATGTTTTGATTAACAATCCATAACTCTATCAGTTTAAATTTAGCAGTCTTTTACTTCATGGTTCATGTTTTGTATATTGTGTGGAAACTTTTCCCTACTTGTGGTCAGGACGATATTTTTCCATGCTCCTAAAGTTTTACAGACTTTGCCTTTCATTAATTATGCCCATAATCCATCTGGAATTTATTTTTATATATAGTGGGAATTTTTCTGGTGGCTGATACATTTTCTAACCACCATTTATTGAAAAGACCACCTTTTCTCCCTCTGTGTTGCAGTACCACCTCTGTTGGAAATCAAATACGTTTTTGGTCTCTTTATTCTTTTGGTCTGTCTGTCTCTGAACCCAGACAACACTGTGTGTATCACCGAGGCAAGGCATGCTGCAGTAACAAATAACACTCAAATTTTTATGGATTAAAATAGCAAGGTTGCGTTCTAGCTCAAGCTGCAGGTCAGGCTGGGTGCAGTGGCTCACGCCTGTAATCCCAGCCCTTCGGGAGGCTGTGGCAGGAGGATGGCTTGAGCGTAGGAGTTTAAGACCAGCCTGGGTAACATAGTGAGATCCCATCTCTAAAAAAAAGAAAAAGAAAAGTTTATCTGGGTGTAGTGGCACGTCCCTGTAGTCCCAGTCACTTGGGAGGCTGAAGCAGAAGGATTGCTTGAGCCCAGAAGATTGAGGCTATGGTAAGCCATGATTGTGCCATTGTACTTCAGCCTAGGTGACAGAGACCCAACTCAAAAATAATAATAATAAATAAAATAAAGACCTAACTTTTGCTTTATTGACCCTTTTTATTGTATTTTAAATTTTATTATTTTCTGCTCTTATCTTTATTTCTTTCTACTTTCCCTCAGCTTGTTTTGCTATTCTTTGTTGTTATTTTGTTTTGTTTTTAGCTTTTTGAAATGGATGCTTAGCTCATTACTTTTTTGTGGTTTTTTTCCCCCTTTGGACTTCAGACAGATAAAATTAAGCCTTGGGTCATGACACACCATCATCATTGTTCCAAACATGGAGCACCACTTTTTTCTTAGCTTTTCTTCTTTTTTTCTTTTTCTTTTTTTTTTGAGTTGGAGTCTCACTCTCTCACCCAGACTGGAGTGCAGTGGCCGCTCCCGGCCACCACAGCCTTGACCTGCTGAGCTCTGGCGATCCTTCCGCCTCAGCCTTCCAAGTAGCTGGAATTACAGGCGCGTGCTACCATGCCCGGCTTATTTTGATTTATTGTAGAGATGAGGTCTCAACAAGTTGCCCAGGCGGGTCTCGAACCCGCAGGCTCAGGCAATCCAGTCACCTCAGCCTCCCAAAGGTGCGGGATTACAGGCTGAGCCACCAAGCCCGGCTCCTTTTTTCTAATATTTGCATTTAAAGTTAAAATTTTTGTTCTAAGTAGAGCTCTAGGTGGCATCTTACAAAACTGTCCTTGAAGGGTTTGTTTTGTTTTGTTTTGTTTTTGAGGGGCATGGAAAATCTGGCTTAAGAGTCTATAATATAAAAATCTATTCCATTTGAGCCAGGTCTGGTGGCTCTGCCTATAACCCCAGCATGGTCAAGGTGGGAGAACTACTTGAGGCCAAGGGATGGAGACCAGCCTGGGCAATATAGTGAGACCTGATCCCTACAAAAAAATTTTTTTAAATTAGCCAGGTGTGGTGGCATGCACCTGTATCCCCAGCTACTCAGGAGGCTGAGGTAGAAGAATCACCTTGAGCCCAGGAGGTCGAAGCTATGGTAGCTGTGATCATCCCACTGCACTCTAGTCTTTGTGACAGAGTGAGACTCTGACTCAAGAAAAAAAAGAAAAAGAGGTATTTACCTTACAATGCAGTATTTGGTAAATATTTGTAAATGATCCACGTGTGCTTAGAAGGAAATGTATTCTGCAGTTGTTGGATACAAAGTTCTATATTATATAATATATATATGCACCTATTAGGCCAAGTTTGTTAATAATATTGTTTAAATTTTCTATAGCTTTCACTTATTTTTTTGTCTGTTTGTTCTAACAAATCCTGAGTAAAGTATATTTTAAATCTCCTACTATGATTGTGGATTGTCTATTTTTTCCTTGTATTTCTGTCCTATTTTGCTTTATATATTTTGAGTCAACTGTAGAATACCTCCCAATTTCAGAAATGTGTAGTTTAAAATCTATGATTTACAATAATGTTCGCTGCTTCGCTGTGCTGCTCACTGTGCTATTGTTGTTTAAGCATAATTTACACAATCCTAAATCATATGGAAGAAATCAGCATTATATTTAGAAGTTAAAATCACATACCTTACAGCACGTATGTGACTCAGTGCTCACGGGCACTTCCATCTTGTCCTAGTCCTTAATGGCTTAAATCCATGCTTCTTAAACTATGGTAAAAAAACAAGCTTGAGGGGTTTTCTCCCAACCCATAATATTCTGACATACTGTCCTGCTATGCATGGTTAGTTCACACCTCGTGCCACATGTGACTAACTGTGCGTGTTTGACAGAACTCAAACTGGTCTACATTCTGTCCAATGAGACAAGACCTCTAATCACACTCTTGGATCTTCTAAACATGCTCAGTTTTTGTTCTTATTTCACTCAATGAGGTAAGTCTATTCTCATCTCATGAAGTCTAGTAACATTTTGTAGATCAGCACTGGCCACAGACCCCACTTTGAGTAGTACTGACTTAAAATATCACCACCCATTTCAGTAATTAAAAAACTGGGGAAATTTGAAATTACCATGTTATCAGAAAATTTTTGTTGAAATCTTAGGTGAAAATAAAGGCACATCTGGTCCATTCTAGGACTCTGTGCTTCTTGAAATATGTATATATTCTATTTAAATATTTCTGGTTCCCCTTTTCACTTTACCCTTCTAATAGCCAAAATCAGGTATTTGCGGTGACTTAATCTCCCTCTTCTGGCCTTGTATTGATGAAAAGAAAAGCAAAAACAACAACCCCAAATTAACTGTGTTTATCCTTTCCAAAGGAAATTATTTTATTTATAGAAAAATAGGGTTTGGGCTGGGCACGGTGGCTCACACCTATAATCCCAGCACTTTGAGAGGCTGAGGTGAGAGGACTGCCTGAGCCCACAGGTTCAAGACCAGCCTGGGCAACTTGGTGAGACCTCATCTCTACCATAAATCAAGAAAAACTGAACTGAGCATAGTGGCACATTCCTGTAGTTTCAGCTACTTGGAGGGCTGAGGCGGAAGGATCACCTGAGCCCAGCAGGTTGAGGCTGCGGTGGCCATGAGCATGCCACTGCACTCCAGCCTGGGCGACAGAGTGAGACTCCAACTCAAAAAAAAGAAAAGGGCCGGGCTCGGTGGCTCAGCCTGTAATCCCGTGCTTTGGGAGGCTGAGGTGAGTGGATTGCCTGAGCCCATGGGTTCAAGACCTGCCTGGGCAACTTGGCGAGACCTCAACTCTACAATAAATCAAAAAATTAGCCGGGCGTGGTAGCACACGCCTGTAGTTCCAGCTACTTGGAAGGCTGAGGTGGCAGGATGGGCAGATCCCAGCAGGTCGAGGCTGCGGTGGCCGGGAGCAGCCACTGCACTCCAGTCTGGGCGACAGAGTGAGACTCCAACTCAAAAAAAAAAAAAAAGGAAGAAAAAGAAAAATAGGATTTGGCCCTGTATCCTGACTGCTCATCGAATTATTTTAATGGCCTTGCCTAAGAAAGAGAAATGGAAAGGGAATGGACTGGATATGAAATAACTGTTTCACACCATTTCTCTACTTTCAGGTATCAATCATGGAGATCTTAACGACCATAACATTTTAATAGAGTCCAGCAAGTCAGCCTCTGGAGATGCTGTTTATCAAGTGTCTGGGATTTTAGACTTTGGTGACATGAGCTATGGCTACTATGTGTTTGAAGCAGCAATCACCATCATGTACATGATGATTGAAAGCAAGTTCCCTATACAAGCAGGAGGTCATGTTCTTGCAGGGTTTGAAAGCGTAATCCCCCTGACAGCTGCAGAGAGGGGTGCTTTGTTTCTTCTTGTATGTAGTCGTTTTTGTCAGTCACTTGTCATAGCTGCATACTCTTGCCAGCTACACCCAGAGAACAAAGACTATCTCATGATGACTGCCAAAACCGGGTGGAAGCACTTACAGCAAATGTTTGACATGGGCCAGGAAGCTGTAGAAGAAATCTGGTTTGAAACTGCCAAGTCCTATGAATCTGGGGTCACCATGTGACCTGATAAAAGTTCACATTAACTTGGGTAGTTAAAAAACCCAATAGGACCAAATCAAATTTTGTGAAGAATTTCCCTGCATAATTAAAAATGAATTGATGGAAGAGATCAAATCTGAATACAAGGCACTTAAGATCTCTAAGGCCTTCGAGCAATCTCATGACCATTTTTAAACTTGAGAAAGTACCACATGAGCAAGCATGTCTTTCTGCCTGTCTTGCTTGCCTTGTGTATAAAACACACATAATGATATCATTTTGAATCAGAGAATCTTTCAAGCTCTAGTCCAGCCCTGAGATCAGTGACTTTTTTAAACTTCGAAAGGAATGCATATGCATAGATATAACCACATATTTTAAATAAAGGCGTAACATACAACCCTAGCTGACATACCACCAGTTCTTTGAAACCTTCTCTGATCTCTCCTTTCTCCAGAATCCCATAGCACTGTGACTTTTCCGTGGCATACCACTTTGTATCATAGATCATGGTTGTGCAGTCATCTAGCTTGCAAGCTATTTGAGGGCACAGACCATGTAAAACTTATTTTTTGTATCCTCATCCCTTTTTCTTATACCTACTGTAGTGCCTTTCCCAGAGAGAGGTCTTTAAAACATTTGCAAAATGAGGCTGGAAGCAGTGGCTCACACCTTTAATCCTAGCACTTTGGGAGGCCAAGTCGAGAGGATTGCTTGAGCCTAAGAGTTCAAGACCACCCTCAGTAACATAGCAAAACCTCATCTCTACAAAAATCAGAAAAATTAGCCAGACATGGTAACATGTGCCTAAATTCCCAGCTACTTGGGAGGCTGAGGCAGAAGGATCACCTGAACCCGGAAGGTTGAAGCTATGGTGAGCTGTGATGGTGATACTGCACTCCAGCCTGGGTGACAGAGTGAGACCCCGACTGAACTCTTTTTTTTTTTTTTTGCAAAATGAAAGTGTGTTGGAAGAAAGGCTGGAGAAGGTACACACTAATGAACCTTAGCAGGAAACACAGATGGCATTCTTAGAGAAAAGTTTTTAATTTGTTTGAAAGGGTAGTTGCAACTGGAATTTCAGAGATAAATGCTGGAAGATGCTGAAACAGCAAGGACGCCAATGAAGACATCCAGGCAAGACCACTAACCCCTGAGCTACCCAAGTGTTAATGGTTCGTTTTCAGACTGACACCAGGAATGTCCCTAAGCAGATATTTTAAAACTCTCTATAATTTCCTATTTATTTTTGTATGAATATGCAGTAGATTGAGAAAACTGAAGCTTACTGTATGCTTGGCTTAAACCATACCACTGTATTTCCTTCACCGATTTCTCTTCATGTCTCCTTTAGTATAATTTAGTAAATGGCTGTTTCCTTATTCCTGTGGTTTTAACTATTCATTTTCTACAGATGGCTCAAATCTAGAACCCTGGCCAAACGCTTTCTCAATAGTGATCTCTTTCTGTATATATGAATAGGCATTGATTCTATATCCATTTTTCTATCTACCTACCCAGGTACCTACCTATTCTTCCCAAACTAGGTGTTTCTCTAAATTTCCTTATATTGTTCATTTTTCACTTCTCTGTGCCTCCATTTATTCATCTGTAAAACTGGGATAATGGTAGTACCTATTACAGAGTCAGTAGAGTTACTTGTAAGGATTTCATAAAAGAATAATGCCAGTGCTTGGCATATAGTTGGGACTCAATAAATATTTACTAAATGAAGCATACACCAGGTTACCCAAACTCGAAATACTGGAATACTTTTATGCCTGCCCCTCTCATATTCAGTGAGTCCTACTGGTCTTTAGAACCATAGAATTTTAGGATTCTGTCTTTCCTGCCTTGTTTTTAACAATATATAATAAAACTCAGTATTTATTGAGCACGGAAGTATATTACATATATTATCTCTTTTAAATTTTACAATAAACCCACGAGGGAAATACCATTATGATTAATCCCCATTTGCAGATAAGGAAATAGAGGCTTAAAAAGTTACCCAGGCACAGTGGCTTACGCCTTGTTATCCCAGCATTTTGGGAGGCAGAGGTGAGAGAATTGCCTGAGCTCGTGAGTTCGAGACCAGCCTCATCTCTACAATAAATCAAAAATTAGCTGAGCATGGTGGCGCATGGCTATGGTTCCAGCTACTTGGAAGGCTAAGGCAGAAGGATCACCTGAGCCCAGCAGGTCGAGGCTGCAGTGGCCGTGAGTGTACCACTGCACTCCAGCCTGGGCAATAAAGTGAGATTCTGACTTACAAAAAAAAAAAGTTGAAATAATTTACTTCAAAGAGAGCCTGGGCTTAAAGCAGGTATTTATTTATTCATTTATTTACTTATTTATTTTCTCATCCTAGAGTCCAAAGGCAAAATCAGGTCTTTCTGATGCAGACCATGGTCTTACCTACTACAGGGTCCTTTACTATTGCCTCTCTCTCCCCTCCTCTCTTGTGTCCCGTGCACACGTGCATACACACTCACACAGGAAATGAGTGAGGAAATGAGACCATTCACATGAAAGCACTTAGGCTTCTCAGATTTAAGGGATTGCAGTTTTTATCTAGCTTGACCATTCGGGAAACTGGGTACTAGAAAAATGGGCTGACCAGTGTTAGTTTCATTCCCAGATCAGTCAGTGTTCATCCTCTGAATTGATGAAACTTTACAGATTTCTCTCTTGATCGCATCTGCTAACATGGATTCCCTGTCAATCAATTCCTAATACAAATACCGCTGACCATTATATTGATATTTAAATACATGCTGCATTGACGTTTTACTATTTAGTGTTTGTTCTAGCTTATCTAGAGAGATTAGTGGGCTGGGAAAGGTTGAGGGCTCATCATCCTAACACATCACTTTCATCCTCTCTTCCCCATATTGAAGGAACTCTACAATTTGGCCTCAGAAGGTTTTCCTCCTTTACTTCCTATCTCTTCCATTTAGGCCAAGCTGAACTACTCAATCACCCAAATTTGTCAAACTAACTCTTCCACACTTTTGCTTAAACCGATCTCTCTTCTTTTGACCTAAGAAATCCCCTCATTTAAAACTTAATGTTTGCTGAATTCTGCAGAATGAGCTAAAGTGATAGACAGGGGCCCTCAGAAACGCCCTAAGTCACAACACCTGAGGATGCTCTTGGAACATCACCTATGAGTGTGGCCCTCTGCTGCCTTACCTTGGCTCACCTCCCTGTGTGTTTGGAAAGCAAAAATGACAGGAGAGACTTCAAAGTGCAGCTAATTTCTAAGCCATACTCCTTTTCAAAGCCCAGATCCCTCGGTAATTTTGTGCCCAACATGAAGAGGACAAAGTCCCTGCCCAATGGACTACTTCTTCTGAGAGACAGTGAGCAAATGACTATATATTAACCCAGACCTTGTCGACCTTCTAGTCTGAAAAAAACTAAATGCAGCCGGGCTCGGTGGCTCAGCCTGTAATCCCGTGCCTTTGGGAAGCTGAGGTGAGTGGATTGCCTGAGCCCGCGGGTTCGAGACCTGCCTGGGCAACTTGGCAAGCCCTCATCTCTACAATAAATCAAAAAATTAGCTGGGCGTGGTAGCGCGTGCCTGTAGTTCCAGCTACTTGGAAGGCTGAGGCAGAAGAATCTTCAGAGCCCAGCAGGTGGAGGCTGCGGTGGCCGGGAGTGGCCACTGCCCTCCAGACTGGGCGACAGAGTGAGACTCCAACTCAAAAAAAAAAAAAAATGCGAATAGCAGATAGTTTACATAGCTGAACTGGGTGACAAAAAGGATGGAGATGGGTAATGAACTCAAACAAGCATGACAGTTTCAGCAAGGAAGATAAAATTCTGCAAGTGTATGGTAATGATAGGTAGATTGCTTTAACTAGGTTGATCAGGGAATCCTTTCTGCCTGGTGAAAAGCAGAGGAGGACACCAAGGTGAAAATCCTCCCAAAAGTGTGAAGCCAATCATAATTTTTGTTCGTTTGTTTGAAAGCAGGATTTATTGAGATGACAGAAAAGCTCCCAGAGGGGAGAGAACCCAAGAGGGTTGCCCAATTTTTTTTTTTTAAGAGGCAGGGTCACACTCTGTTGCCAGGGTAGAGTGCAATGGTGTGATCATAGCTGACTACAGCCTCAAACTCTTGGGCTCAAGCATTCCTCCTGCCTCAGCCTCCCTATAACTGGGACTACAGGCATGGCAACACACCCTGTTAATTTTTTCTTTTAATGTTTTTGTAGAGTCTCTATATTCCCCAGGCTGATTTTGAACTCCTGGCCTCAAGTGATCCTCCCACCTCAGCCTCCCAAAGCGCTGGGATTACAGGTGTAAGCCATCTCACCGGACCCTCATCATAATTTTTATGTCCAAAAATGCATGCATCAGCAGTAAAAGTGGAAGCCAGATTAAAGAAAGGAGAAGATGAGAAGAGGCGGGATGAAGGGTAAAGTCTGATGTGATGAGGACCATTCTGGGGAACAGGACAGGAATGATAGTTTTTTTTGTTTTACTGTTTATTGGGGGTTTTTTGAGTCGGAGTCTCACTCTGTCGCTCAGTGGCAGTGGGAATACAGTGGAACGCTCACGGCCACCGCAGCCTCAACCTGCTGGGTTCAGGTGATCTTTCGCCCTAGCCTTCCGAGGAGCTACAACCACAGGCATGCACCACCACGCCCGGCTAATTTTTTTATTTATTGTAGAGACGAGGTCTCTACAAGTGAAAGTGAAAATGGAGCTCAAAGGGTGAGAAAATTAGCCATACAGTAATTCCACTTCCTGGATGGCAAGGGTCTTCCCGCCCTCCTCCCCATGGCAGAGCACTCCCTCTACCTGCCGAGCATCGTAGCCAGTGCCGCCGCGCACCAACTCCCCAGCTCCCACGTGGGCCACTGGCTCTCGCCCCGCCCCCGGGAGAACTTCCGCATCCTCGGTCGCCCCGCCCCCCGGGCGGTTCTGCGCACGCTCGGGGGCCATATTAGCAGCGGATTCTCGGACGGCGCTGGTGGCTTCTCTCCCGCGGAGTAAAGTGCTCCGCGTACATCTCGACTTTTCAGGGTCTTCTCTCTGGTGAGCCTCTGCCCCCTGGGGGGCTGCGGAAGCTCGGCCGCTCTCTCCGTGGGCGGGGACCGTGAACGTCGAGACAGCCGGTCCCGGCCTGCCGCCGCCGCCGAGGAGCCGTGGACACGATGACTCTGCACCCGCCTCCTCGGTGACGGACTGGCCCCCACCGGCCGCCGTCGTGTTTCCCCGGGCGGAGCCTGGACGGCGGGGCTAGGACGGGGCGAGCGGGCTGGGGGTGGTCGGTGAGCAGGACCGAGGAGTCGGGCGGCTTCCGTCCCCCGGACTCCGGTTCCAGAAAGTGGACGCTGCTGGAGGTGCCGGTGAACGCACCGTCGTGCTGTGCCAGGCATCAGGCGTGGAGACACAAAGTTGCGTTTACGCGGGAATCAGAAACACCCAACCCGTCTCGGTGTCTCTCGGCCGCTCTGCTCAGGGCCATCCTTCCCTTGCACCTGTCTGTTGCAACTGTGTCATGATCAGTTACCCCCCCTTCAGCCTCTCACCAGCCCGAGTGGTTTAAGTGCCAGTTAGTTCCTGTGGCCTTTGGGCTCAGGATCATTCGGAGGAGCACCATTGACTAAGAGAAAATTTTGTTTTTACCTGGGCACGCAGGCCCTCCGGGACAGTCTTGATTTTCTGTATTCCAATATTTGGGAATGTGGGCTTTGAACTCTTGGCTTTTCTACTAGATCACGTAGAACTCCCGGTGTTGTCTTGCAGGAATGGAAGGAAATAATGAGGCCCATGATTGCCGCCCCCCACTCCCAAGTTCAGGACGCGCCATCTCCCCCCCCAAGTTCAGGACCCCTATCACTTTGGAGAAGGCCCAAGCCTCTTAACTCTTGCACGATTTGAATGCTCTGCTTAGCTACAACTTCTTTGTATTCTTTTTAAACTTGAGTCTGTCTCTTGGCCACCAAGCTATCTTGCCCCATTACTCTTCGCTCATGCTTTCAACTTTGCCTAGAATGCCCTTCCTTTCTTCCCCTATTCTTCTGTCTTATGCCCCAGGGCTCTCAGTCTTATTTCTCCCATCTCTAATTTACTTTCATTTTCTGTGTTGGTTTCTCAATACTTTCTTGGATTTTCTCCATTCCTCCTCCCACCTCACCCTTGGTGCTTCTTTTCACTTAACGCATAAGCTGTGTCTGCCTCTGTCACCTAACTGTGGGATTAGTATAAGTTTTTCAGGACAGGGATTGGTTTTACCCATCTTGGTATTCCAGCATCTAGCATAATGTCTGGCACTTAGCAGGTGCACAGTAAACATTTGCTGAATAGAGGCAGTGAATAAAACAGATCTGTAAAGTCAGGAAGTGCTTTTTAAATTGTTTTACTGATGATCCAATTTTGTTTTTACAGGAATTATATAAAGTGCAGAAAACATGGTGAGTTAATACACATGACAATAAACTGTTGCCTGATAAATTACAGGCTTGCATGAGAAAATTGGAATGGACTGCAGGTGGGGGATGGTGTCTTCTTCCTTACCCAATTTTTCTCACACACTGGACTCATGCACCAGGATAGGTTTTGCAAGATGATTTATGGGGCTTGCAGTAGTTGACTTGCTTTCAGTGGGTATGAATTACTTGTGTGTTTTTCTTTGCAGTCTCGAAGATATGACTCCAGGACCACTATATTTTCCCCAGAAGGTAAATAGAAATTGTTTAGTCTGCCTCAATTAAAAAAAAAATTAAGAGCCGGGCTCAGTGGCTCAGCCTGTAATCCCACGCTTTGGGTGGCTGAGGTGAGTGGATTGCCTGAGCCCGCAGGTTTGACACCCGCCTGGGCAACTTGGCGAGACGTCATCTCCACAATAAATCAAAAAATCAGCCGGGCGTGGTAGCGCATGCCTGTAGTTCCGGCTACTCGGAAGACTGAGGTGGAAGGATCGCTGGAGCCCAGCAGGTCGAGGCTGTGGTGGCCGGGAGCAGCCACTGCACTCCAGTCTGGGCGACAGAGTGAGACTCCAACTCAAAAAAAAAAAATTTAAGTATTAGACTTTTAGAAGAAAATGTTACAAACCTTTTTTGTAGTTTCACAGTTCATCCTTTTTGTACTCTGAAGTTATTATGGTCATCAGGCTGATTGCATTATGCATTGTGAAAGAGTAAAATGAGACTTGCTTATAGCCTGTTAGAGTTGCTGTTTTCTCCTGGTGTAAGAGAATAGGTAATAGTCTTAATTTCTCACTGCTTGTGTTTTGTAGGTCGCCTATACCAAGTTGAATATGCCATGGAAGCTATTGGACATGCAGGCACCTGTTTGGGAATTTTAGCAAACGATGGGGTTTTGCTTGCAGCAGAGAGACGTAACATCCACAAGCTCCTCGATGAAGTCTTTTTTTCCGAAAAAATTTATAAACTCAATGAGTAAGTGAAATCTTAGAAAAGAGTTTTTCCTCAATATCTTACTTCCTCACATAAATGGGATCTGCCTGATTTGAGAGAGCTTTTTCATGTGAGAAGGTAGAATTGGGTAAAGAGTTTATTGTGTTTATAGGCCAGGCATGTTGGCTCAGGCCTATAATCCCAGCACTTTGGGAGACCGAGGTGAGAGGATTGCCTGAGCCCACAGGTTCGAGACCAGCCTGGGCAACTTGGCGAGACCTCATCTCTGCAGTAACAAAAAATTAGCTGGGCATGGTCGCGTGCTTGTAGTTCCGGCTACTTGAAAGGCTGAGGCAGAAGGATGGTCTGAGCTCAGCAGGTCAACACTGGGGTGGCCCTGAGTGTGCCACTGTCCTCCAGCCTGGGTGACAGAGGGAGACTCTGACTCAGGAAAAGAAAAAAGAGTTTATTGTGTCTTTATTTGTGAAAATGTGTGCTTTTTAACTTACTTTGCTTAAAACCTCCTTGAGGCTCAGTACCATGTGTCACTCTTTTTTAAGTGCAGGGCCAAGCACTTAGTGGAGAAACAGCAGTGTGTAGTGATAAAAGTATAAACTTAGTAGTCACACAGATTTGGGTTCAAGCTCAGTTTCCACTCAGCTATGTGACTTTGCACCATTTATTTCACTTTTGGGGGGCCTTAGTGCTTTCTAAAGTGGTTGTGGCAGTTTAATGAAATAAAATAAAATGAATGAAATATACTGGCATATTGTCTGGCATAAGCAAACCCTCAATGCATTGTTTATAATAGCTGCTCAGGTTTTTGTTGAATTATGCTGAATCTTAACAAAGAACAGGCCTCCTGGAGGTCTGAGAACAGTTTAGCCAAGCCCTGTACACTTTGTGAGATTTCTGTTTTACTTGGGTCTGCAGAACTTTGCAGCTAGGGGAGAGCTGGCTGTGGTAGTTAGAGATGTACCCTTTAACCATGGGTCTGGCAAATGCTGGCTATCAGGGACTTTTGATGCAGTCATCTGGGGTAGTGTCATCCCTCCACAGAGCCACTGTTGGACCCATTCAGAAGCTTGCAGGCTTGGCTAGACATAGTCACAGTGAGTGTCTTAGCTGTGGGAGAGCCAGAGCAGCCCTCAGAAAACACGATTTAAAAAAAAAAAAAGGAAAGTTCCCCCCCCAATAGGAGCCTAGCCCTGGACATCCTAGACAGGCTTGTAGCCCCTCAGCCTTTATTCTCCTTCACCCTTACCCCATCAGGCCAGGTATTGAAGGTGAGGGTATTACTCTAGCATGGGGTAGTCTCTCTGTCTAGACAAGCGCTCTTCTTCTTTGTTGCTGAATCTTCTTGAGATTTATTTTAGCTTCTTGGTGTTTATTCTTTTGCCCTGTTCACAGGGTGGTGATGATAAATTCGTCTATTGAAGAACTTAAGGGTGCATTTGTTTATGTCTCACGTTAAATGACATCAAGTAAAAGGGCTCCTACAAAGATAAAACTTGTATAGTTTTTTTCAGGGTATAGCAGCTGTGAAGCAAGTATAGTGAATTTCTAATGGAACTTGGTGCTTTTTAATACTTGTAAATGTCCCTTGCAAGTGTCTTCCCTGCTTACAGACCAGTCTTTCTTTTCTTCAAGGGACATGGCCTGCAGTGTGGCAGGCATAACTTCGGATGCTAACGTTCTGACTAATGAACTGAGGCTCATTGCTCAAAGGTATGGTCATAAATAGCATAACTGATGATACAGAAAGTAGTTTAGATGTTTCTAAGGTGAGCTCACTTTTGCAAAGATCAAAGTCATTAAAAATCTATTAATGGGAAAATAGATTTTTTTTAAACCCAACTTACAAAATGTTATTAATCACAAGGATATTAGGATATTGACATGTCATCTGTCCCCACCCCATCTTCTTCAAATTACAAGTGACTATTAATGTCCCCATGGCATAGATTTCAGAGGGTTTTTTCCTTAGAGTATATCTGTGCTTTGGAGAAAACTGTTAACACGCCAGTCTTTTTATCCTAGGTATTTATTACAGTATCAGGAGCCAATTCCTTGTGAGCAGTTGGTTACAGCATTGTGTGATATCAAGCAAGCTTATACACAGTTTGGAGGTACTTAATTTTTTGAAAATTGTTTTCCAAAAAGTTAAAACATTTTGAGTAATAACCCTTTTGAGACAGTAAAAAGAAATTGAAATAAAATAAACACTTATTTTAAATTAAATGTTAAAAATTGATAGGCCGGGAACAGTGGCTCAAGCTTATAATCCCAGCATTTTAGGAGGCCAAGGCAGGGGGATTGCTTGAACCCAGCAATTCAAGACCAACCTGGGCAACATAGGGAGACCTTGTCTCTACAGAAAATTTAAAAATTAGTCAGGCATGGTGGCACACACCTGTGGTCCAGCTACTAAGAAGGCTGAGGCTGAAGGACCACCTGAGCCCAGGAGGTTGTGGCTACAGTGAGCCATAATTGTGCTACTGCACTCCAGCCTGGCCACAGAATGAGAACTGGATTCAAAAGCAAAAAACAGTTTGACAAGTAATGATTAATTCTTGGGGTACATAGTGATGTATTAGCACATGAAATGTATAATGATCAGGTCAGGGTAGTTAGCATATCCATCATCTCAAAGATTTATCATTTCTTTGTGTTGGGAACATCAATATCCTCTTTCTAGCTATTTGAAACTAATATATTATGGTTAATTATAGTCCTCTGCAGTGGTGAAGAACACTGGAACTTCATAAATTCTTCCTTCATAAATAAACTTGCTTCCACCACATAGATTATCATAGTTTTATTAATAGGATGTTGAAAATCCAAAATAACAGTTTCAAATGTAGAAACAAATTGTTTTTTACATAATAATGAAATTCAGCCCTGGTCCTCTGTCTTCATTCCCTCTCGGGCTATGTCCAAATCCTAGAAACAAAAACAGAATTTGTAATGGTGCTTATCTCTGGTAGCCAGAACACAGAACAGTTTATGAATGCTTAGCTTCTCAGAAAGGTTTCATTACATTCACTGAGCTCAAGTAACTATAGTGACACTAAATTTAGGTTGTTGATCTGTTTGTCTTTTTTTCTTTATTAAAGGTAAACGTCCCTTTGGTGTTTCATTGCTGTATATTGGCTGGGATAAGCACTATGGCTTTCAGCTCTACCAGAGTGACCCTAGTGGAAATTATGGGGGATGGAAAGCCACATGCATTGGAAATAATAGTGCTGTGAGTATTTTTGTAGTGGTGTAAATCTAGTAGAGGGTCTAATAACGACCATAATTTTGAAGTAGTAATGAATGTAAACAGTTTTTAAGATGGCTACAACAACCTTAATGTGAAATGAAAATATCTGTGATTTCTGTTGGTGGCAAAGTTGCAGGTACAACTAACATACTGGGGTTTGTTACCTACGTTTGTAATTCAGTGCCAGTTCTCAATGAGGAGTTTTGAAATCAGAAGTTGTAATTTTGTTTCACATCCTGGTTTACATACCCCTTGAATTCTACAATGATCCCTGGGGGGCTTCTGGACCCCAGTTTAAAGACTCACTTCCTCCTCCTCTTATTCCATTCTGTGATGTCCTCCCTATCATCAAAATTGATTCTTGGCTGCGCTCGGTGGCTCAGCCTGTAACCTAGCACTTTGGGAGGCCAAGGCAAGTGGATTGCTTGAGCCCGTGGGTTCGAGACCCAACCAGGCATCTTGGCGAGACCTCGTCTCTACAATAAATCAAAAATTAGTCAGGTGTGGTTGCATGTGCCTGTGGTTCCGGCTACCTGGAAGGCTGAGGCAGAAGGGTCACCAGAGCCCAGTAGGTCGAGGCTGTGGTGGCCAGGAGCGTGCCGCTGCACTCCAGTCTGGGCGACAGAGTGAGACTCCAACTCAAAAAAAAAAAAAATTGATTCTACTGGTTGTAATGTCAATAATCAGACATTTTATAGACCTAAAAAAATGCAAGAACTTAAAGGAAATTCTCTCTGTTGATTATGTTTTATAGGCAGCTGTGTCAATGTTGAAACAAGACTACAAAGAAGGAGAGATGACTTTGAAGTCAGCACTTGCTTTAGCTATTAAGGTGCTAAATAAGACCATGGATGTTAGTAAACTGTCTGCTGAAAAAGGTGATTCTTGTCCTGTTCTTTAATTGGTTCTATTGAGTGAGGGGAGTTGAGAAACTGCTGTGTTAGGACTTTAACATGTTATCTCAGTTCATTGAAACAGCCTTATGAATTACACGGCCTTATACCTGTTCTAACTGAGAACATTGTTGGGGAGCCACTGAGGTTAAGTGAGTTGACCAAGATAGCATTGGTACATTGTGACGTCACAATCCTACGCTATATTCCAAGCTTAAGGACTTGAGCCTGAGTGTTCTCAATACTCATAGTTAGAGATCCTGACCCATGCTACTTTTAGTTAACAGTTATCAAGACTTCTCTTCAATAATATTGTTGCTTGTGTGTGTGAGTGCTAAAGGATACGTATGTAGTTATGTATTTACACATAGGGATGGTATACTTTATCAGAGATTCATAACATTTGCATGAGTTGTGGTACCTTCTTCCTGTTCTTCTGAATCTACTAATCTCTTATGTTAAGATCATATTAGCAATTCCAAACATTTCATGTAACTTAAACTTGTATGACTGTATAAAACAATATTTCTAGGCTGGGCATAGTGGCTCACATCTGTAATCCCAGCACTTTGGGAAGCTGAGGCGGGAGGATTGCTTAAGCCCAGGAGTTCCAGACCAGCCTAGGCAACGTCGGCAAGACCTTGTCTCTACAAGATATGAAAAAATAAGCTGAGTGTTGTGGTGTACACCTGTAGTCCCAGCCACTCAGGAGGCTGAGTCTGGAAGGGTCACCCAAGCCCAGGAGGTTAGGACTGTGGTGAGCTGTGAGCAAGTCACAGCACTCCAGCCCAGGCGACAGTGAAACCTCACTTCAAAAAAAAAAATTCTAAACAATGTTTCTCAAAAACGGTGCTGAATTCGATTTAGTTTAGGACGGCTTAGCTCCTGGCATTTCTAGAAAGTGCCGTGTTCCTTGCAGAGAGCTCCTCCATTACCTACTTCTCCCTCGTCACAGGGAGACATAGCACAGTTTCTGCTAACCAAACTCCTTTCCCTTCAGGCCTCAGTCTGCTTTTCTTGTCCCTAAACGTGAAGGCTGCTTTTCATGCCTTTGCTTTGAAAGAGATCTGAAAAGTCCATAAAAAAAATAAGTGTTATTACTGGTTGGAGATTCTGGCTGAGCCTTCAGGGGTTCCAGCAAGGACGTGGTGGTTCCTTCTGGGCAGCACAGCAAAGAGCAGGCCAGCTATAGCAGTGGACTGATTATAAGGGGATGACAAGAAAGTTGGGCTAGGCAAGGAGAAGGGAGATAATTAAGTAAAAATGGTAATTAAAACATTACAAGATGGAAGGTATTTTGCTCACATAAAAGGGAAAAATGTTAAGCATAAAACATAGGTGAGTGGTGAGACTAAGGCTCAAGTGATGTGCAAAAGTATGAGTGCCTATTAAGTTTGCTTGCCAAGGTGTACTTGCCTGCCTGTAATACTAATGTATGTGTTGTTTTTTAGTGGAAATTGCGACTCTGACAAGGGAGAATGGAAAGACGGTAATCAGAGTTCTCAAACAAAAAGAAGTGGAACAGTTGATCAAAAAGCATGAGGAAGAAGAAGCTAAGGCTGAGCGTGAGAAGAAGGAGAAAGAACAGAAAGAAAAGGATAAATAGGAGCCAAAATCAGGGATTTGATAACTCACTCGGGCACCATTTCAGTGTGAAAGCTGTCCTACACTTCCGTGCTGAGAAGGCTTTGACTTTTTTTTAATTTGTACAGCGGAAAACTGAATTGGGCCCTTGTCATTTCTGTCCAGTTGAATACTTCGTTGTAATGATGATGATTACTCTTCATGGACATCTTAATCTCCCACACACGCATCCCCTTTTTTTGGAATAAAACCTGGAAAGGATGGAAATGGTGAAGGAAAAACTTCTCTGTAGCAGTGATTGTTAAATATACAAGGATTGACAGGGCTGTTACCCCTCTTCATGCTTTATGTGTGCCTTGGCTGGCATTCCTTCCACCTAGGTGGGCACGTTCCAACGCAGGGAGAGGGCCTCTGTCTCCAGGGATTGATTTGAGAATGAACACGGGAGCTGAGCAAAGACTATGTATGGGTGTAAGGACAGAGTGCTCTGGCTCCTGCTGCTAGGACAGAGGCAGCCATCAGCAACATGGACCATGGAAGCTGGTGTGTTCAGAAAGTAAGGCCAGGGGAAAGTGGAACCCAGAGACAGGAAGTTACGTTGTGGCTGAAGCGAGCTCACTCGGCGAGCTCACTTCGGTTTCTGTGACTTCGTGACACAAGTGATAGAGAGCAGTGCTACTTAAAGTGTGGCCATGGTGCTTCAGCATCACCTGGGAATTTGCTAGAAGTGCAGATTTGGCATCCCATCCCAGATCTCCCGAATTAAAATCTCAGGGTGGAACCTAGTAATTTTTTTTAACAAGACTTGCTTGTGATTCTTAGGACCTCTCAAGTGTGAGAAGCATTTATTGAATTTTAGAATCACCTGGAGAGCTTTTAAAGCTTGTACCCGTGTCTTAGCAATTAACTCAACCCTGAGAGTGAGGCCCAGGCATTAGCATTTCTTTTCTTTTTTGGAGTTGGAGTCTCACTCCATTGCCCAGGCTGGAGTACAGTGGCATACTCACGGCCACCCCAGCATCAAGCTGCTGGGCTCAGGCGATCCTTCTGCCTCAGCCTTCCAAGCAGCCAGAACTACAGGCGCTCTACCATGCCTGGCTAATTTTTGATTTATTGTAGAGACGTCTCACCAAGTTGCCGGGGCTGCTTGAACCCATGGGTTCAGGCAGTCCACTCCCCTTAGCGGCCTCTGAGCCACCAACCCCAGCCCATTAGAAATTCCTCAGGTGGCTTCCATTGGCAGCTGAGATGAAGACCAGTGAGTGCATGGTTCATTCTTCATTGTCTAGGTATTGGGATCCCAGCCTGATTCCTTTTAAAGAATAGTAGTTTCTTGACGTTTTCTGTACAGGCTAAGGTACTTCTAAGCCGTACTTCTAAGCCGTTTTTCACAGTGCCTTTTAGCTTTCTAAAGACTTCAACTCTGTACAGCTGGTTCTCATTTTTGGTAGTTCTAAAAAGTCACTACAAACACTAAATGAGCAAATACTTGAACTATTGCTCCCAGGGGAAGTACCGACTTAAGGTCCCACTGGTCTCAACATTTTTATAAACTGATCGGTACATAACCTGTTTTGTGTGTGTCTTTCCTTAAAGATCTTATGTAATATACATTGTTGATTCACAAACAGAGCTCAGCCAACAGCTCTGTGCCTGACCGCATTTTCCTCATAAGGCACACCACAACCTCGTGCCAAGGAGCACTAAGCAGCCCTTCATCACTACGCTTGGGGAACATTTTGAAGAGTAAAATCACTAAGCAAAAGCACAAAGATGCAAAAGACACGGCACAAGATAGACCACAAGAACAGTTGCAGTATGAGCTGAAAGGAGGCAGAGTTCCCTTGTTGAACCTCTGCTAGAACTGCACCTCAGGGCACTTGAACTTCTCACCACTCTGTTTATGTCTGCAAATGACTGACAGCACCACTAGTATTGATTGGGGGCTCCAAGTACATTTTAGCATGAAGGCACATTCACAACTAGTAGTCTGTGAGTTATGGAGGTGATGGTATATCTTCTCCTTCAGTCTTGCTGTACCTGGAAGTAGAGGGAGAGGAAAAAGTGAACCAATAAGTCCTGACTAAATTCTCCAGAATTTATCCAGAATCCAACCATCTCCCACTGCAGGAACACTGGCCCAAGGCTGGTTCAGTCCCTTGCTTGGACTACTGCAACAGCCTCCTAACTGGTCTCTGCTTCCACTTCATTCCCTCCGGTCAGTTCTCCACACAGCAGCCAGAGGAATCCTGTCAAAATGTAAAATTGTGCCACTCCTCGGCTCAAAATTCCCCCATGGCGTCTTGCTCATTCAAGGTCCTTCCAAAGTTCCTTACATTGGTTGGTGGGGCGCCCTGTATTCTGGCCTTGCCCCCACCTTGTCTACCAGGTGTTCCATTCCTCACTTTGCATTCATCCAGATGAGCCTTCTTGGCATTTCCTGCTGGTACCCAGCCCTCTTCAGCCCCTGCCAGTCCCTCTGCCTTGGGAATGCTCTTTCTGAGTGTCTGCTGTGCTCTCTCTCATCTCCAGGTATCTGGTGGAATGTCACCCTATTTGGCTACTTTTCTGAAGAAGCCATCTATTCTCCCACATGCTCACTTTCTCTCTCTGTGTGTCCTGCTGAGTTTTCTCCACAACATTCGTCACCAGCTGCCATATTTGTTTATTGCTCCACCTGGAACATAAGCTTTCTGACCAGGGACTTTGTTTTCATTCAATAGCTGTGTCCTCTACCTGCAGAAACTGGCGCATGTTGTTAGGCAACAAATACATATTGATAACTAAATAAATAGTGACCCTTGATAGGCTGCAGTGAAATTCTAAAAAATACCCCTTTTCCACCCAAATCAGTAGAACTGCTACGTTTTCTGTATCCTGACCACCCTTTCAACTCTTAAAGTTACGACAACTTCAGTAGTGAACAAGAGAGCCCAGTACATTTTACCACCACACTGGAAACAAGTCTTCAGAACTTGACAGTAATAGACAAATTTCAATATATTACGCTTTTGTTGAAAAATTCATCCCATGGGAAAAAGCAAAAGGTATGGGGTGAGGCAAAGGCTGCTCCATAAATGGGGTTTTCCCTGCTCTAGACCTTGGCTGCCGGGCCTACACTCTTACCCAGCCCCATTTTCCTCTTTTCTGTGGTATGTTTTTTCCCAGTTGTAGGGCTCCAGTTTCCAGGTTACATTCCCAGGACGTCTCAAATGCAACTTTAACAATACTCATGTGAATAGGGGTCCTCACCAAGGGCAAGCATTTCATCCTCTCATCTGGGTAAAACGCAAAAGGTTTTCACAAGGGCATTACCAGTTCTGAAGCACCTTGATAGAAATAAATAGAAAACCAAAAGAACTAAGTTTTTAATCTTCAGTCAAAACTCTAAAACAAAATCTTGAGTTGATTTCATGTTGGTGAGATTGTAAATAAGTCATGTGAGCCAGGTGTGGTGGCTCACACCTGTAATCCCAGCACTTTGGGAGGTGGAGGTGAGAGGATTGCAGGAGTTCAAGACCAGGAAAACCAGGAGTTCAAGACCAGTTTGGGCAACATGACGAGACCTTGTCACTACAATAAATCAGAAAACTAGCCAGGCATGGTGGCATGCACCTGTAGTTCCAGCCACTTGGAAGGCTGAGGCAGAAGGATCGCTTGAGCCCTGCAGGTTGAGGCTGCGGTGGCTGTGAGCATGCCACTGTACTCCAGCCTGGGTGACAGAGTGAGACTCCCACTCAAAAATAATAATTTTTAAAATCATATTTAAAAATCGGCTGGGCTCAGTGGTTCAGCCTGTAATCCCAGCACTTTGGGAGGCCGAGGTGAGTGGATTGCCTGAGTCCGCGGGTTTGAGGCCCACCTGGGCAACTTGGCAAGACCTCGTCTCTACAATAAATCAAAAATTAGCTGGGCATAGTAGCGTGTGCCTGTAGTTCTGGCTACTTGGAAGGCTGAGGTGGACGGATCGCCAGAGCCCAGCAGGTCGACTCTGGGGTGACCGTAAGCGTGCCACTACATTCCAGTCTGGGAGACAGAGTGAGACTCCAACTCAAAAAAAAAAAAAAATCATGTATTCCTGTATACAATTTTACTTCTGGTTATTTTTCTTAATCAGAAAATAGAGAAGACTGAAATTTCTACAGTCTAGCACTTTGCAAATTCCAAAGAAGTGTTGTTTTAGCAGTGCAAAAATATTTCCTATTCCAAAAAACAAAACCAGAAAATAGATTTTTTTTGTAGGAGTCTCAAGCTCTGTCCACTCTGTTGCCCAGACTGGAGTGTAGTGGCACATTCACGGCCACCGCAGTCTCGACCTGCTGGGCTCAGGCGATCCTTCCGCCTCAGCCTCCCAAGTAGCTGGAACCACAGGCGTGTGCCACCATGCCCAGCTACTTTTTTGATTTATTGTAGAGACGAGTTCTCGCCAAGTTGCCCAAACTGGTCTCAAACCCCTAGATTCAGACATTCCTCTCACCTCTGCCTCACAAAGTGCTGGAATTATAGGCATGAGCCACCACACCTGGCATCAAAAAGTAGATTCTTTATTGAGCACTTACTGTGGTCCTGGTAACTCTAGGTGATGGGACATGGGGATGAGTAAGATGTCTGCAGCTCTTGACTTGTGGCCTAACAGGAAAGACAGGGCTGTGGTCAACTCCTTAATACTGGAGCAACCCTAGACTCCAGGTGACTATATAATGAAGATTAAAGAGTAAAGGCAGGCCAGGTGCGGTGGCTCAAGCCTATAATCCCAGCACTTTGGGAGGCTGAGGCAAGATGATTGCCTGAGTCCAGGGTTTCGAGACCAGCCTGTGCAACTTGGCGAGAACTTGTCTCTACAATAAGTCAAAAATAGCCGAGTGTGGTAGCTTGTGCCTGTAGTTCCAGCTACTTGGAAGGCTGAAGCAGGAGGATAGCCTGAGCCCGCCAAGTCAAGGCTGCGGTGGCTGTGAGCATGCCACTGCATTCCAGCCTGGGCATCAGAGTAAGACTCTGACTCAAAACAAAACAAACAAAAAAACATAGGCTAGGAAGACTGAAGGGCTGAGACTGGGAGAGGAAGAGGAAGTTGCCATGGAATGAGGGATGAGAAAAAAAGTGAAGGTTGATGGGGTATCAGGTTCAGCTAGTAGTTACAATCTGAGCTAAAAAGGCCGTCAGCAAGCACAATGAGCTACTCTTAAAATGTGCTAAAATCTTTTTTAGTGATCATTGAAATCAAGTAGAGATAATATTCCTGATAGGAAAGACCTCTATGAACAACATTGCACATCACATG